CATCATCCGCCGGGGTAGAGCCGGGGCGCCTTTCCGGAGGAGGGCGGGGGGTGGCTGCGGGGCCCACCCGGGCTGAGGCGGGGGTCTCCGGCGGGAGCGAACTCTGCTTCTGAGTCACTTGCCCTTGCCCTTGGGCTGGGCTGGGGGAGGATCGATCTAGGCCGTGCTGGCCTTCCAGAGCCACGATGATGGGATTTGGGGGCGCTGGCTGTGGGAGGGCGGCAGCTCAGAGGGATGCAGTCCTGGCAGTGGGTCCCGATCTTCCTTCTGCCACCTCAGCCATTTGCCCAGCTGCTAGCCCTTGGCTTCACAACACACCGCTGGCACGGCTGCCTGCTCCCTCCTAGCAGCCATCTCGACATTGTGGTGATCCCCTCCACTTTCCCTTGCCAGCCAGCCTGCAGCCCAGCTCACAGCCCTGCCACAGGTGGGAAGGCCACCTGGGTCACCAGGTCTGGAAAGTGAATCGGGGGTGTGGGGGGGTGCCAGCAATCCTAGCAGGGACCCCCAGGATGTATGGCTGTCCCCAGCACAGTGGAGCTGGCAGGTACTGAGGGCCACTGTGCTTTTGAAGGTCCTGTGTATGCATGCCATGCGTATGGCAGGACGAGGGGTAGGAGCAGGCTGTCCTCACTGAGCCTGTGCGCAGGCAGCCTGCTCTTGGGGCAGAGCAGTAAGACCCCAATTTGTATTTCTTACAGACATGCACTGGCGTAGCAGGAGTGCTCCTTGTTTCTCCCCAAGACCTTGGTCTGTTTACGTTCCCTGTCTCTCTGTCAGTAACCTGACCCAGCCCATAGCTCAGACAGGGCCTCTGGGTGCGTTTCATTTCAGCAGGCTCTGAGAGCTTCCAGATGGCCCCAGTAAGTGGAACTGCCCCTGCCATCAAACAGTGCAGCGAACAGAGGCCAGCGAGTGTCCCTACTGGCCTCGCTAAATCACGGCTGTGCTCGGATCATGCCCTGGCCAGAGAAGATATGATCCCTCTCCCGTGTGTTCACGTCAATGGGGCATTTTCTGCTTTCTGTACAGTTGCACAGTGCCAACATGCACACCTGAAAGCTGCTTTGTGCACAGCTCCGACAGTGCTCTGGGGAAGTTTTGTCTGATTCGTGTCATTGTGGAAGCAGAAAGATTTGGACTGTGTTCTGCATGAAGAAAAAAAAATAAAATCGCCAGACAGTGCAGGGAGTAGCAGGTTCAGGCATTGCCATTTGTAGTCCCAGGCCTGGAAGGGGGCTATCTGCTGCCATCTATTGATGGATTGAGGGAGAGACCTAATGAGCCGACTCATCTGCATAAAGGGCTAATTTCGGGAGAAGTGCTTGGAGGTGGGGAGAGTAATATCCCCGGCTATGTAGCTTTCAGACCAGGCTGTGTGTGACCCAGTAGAGAGCAGCAGGCAGGCAGGCAGGGCCTAGGATTGTGGGTCCTGGCGACTGTCAAGGCCTCTGCAGGGATGCAATGAAATTCTGGGGCTGGCGTGTGGTCAGGCAGATCAGCTTGCAAACAAATGCGTATTAATTAGAAACCCACAATGTCATGATGAGACCTGCTCTGCTCTGGGGCCTCTGCGCTCTGCCAGGGAAGTGCCTTTTGTCCGGGATCATCAGTCATGAGTGGCAACAGCCAGCTATTCAGGCCAGTAGAATAGAGTGGGCATTGCAGCAGCAGGTTTGAAGGTCACTTCTGGTGAGTGCAGGAGAAGCAGGGCAGGCCGTTTTCGTGTGGAGTTGTAGAGAGAGGTTCCTGGGGACCTGCTCAGACTATGGTCCTTTGCTGCTCTCCTGCAACTAGTTGTCTCTGTTACAGCTGTCAATTCCCACCCTACCAGTTTTCTCCTAAGTGTTCCTATTTATGTGCTGAAGAGTTCCCTGTGAAAAAGCGCTGGACCCAGATCCGGTTATTTTTATCCTCAGGCCAGCGATGATCAAAGCGAGTTGATGCTGAAGCCCTGAGAAGTCATTCATGTCTGTTGCTCTGTGGCTGCTGACAGCAGCTGGCCTGAAAATGATGACCAGGCTGTGTCAGATGAAAAACCTGCTCCCCATCTGCCTCAGGGAGAGGCTGGCACTTGCCAAGGAGCATTGGTGAGAAGGGCAGTGAGTGCTACCCACCACACTAGAAGGACCATCCTCATCGCCGTCAGGTCTGTACTTGCTGGCAGGGCCATCACGTGCTGTCTGAGGCAGTGATGTATCACAGCAGAGCAGGAGAT